GGAGAAAGCAGACAAAGAACAAAGAACAGGGCACTACGAAACAGAGGGGAAGACAGGAGAAACAGGTGGGAACGGGGACTGGATCTACACTTTAGGATGCTAATCTGAAATGCAAAACCATTGAGAGCCATTTGTTGATAGTGCTAACCAGACAGGTGGCCTGGAGTTACAGCAAGTGACTGTGAAGCAGGGTATACATCTCAGCTTTGTCACTGCATGGTGTTTGAACCAACTCTGTTTTCTCCACCTGGAAAATAGGGCTAAGGATTTTCTCTAATGCTTTGAGATCCTTGGCAGAAAGGTGCTCAGTAAGTGAAAAAATATTCTGTGCTACATAATAAATAATGACCATACAAGCCCGACACCCTTGCCACACATCATGCCATGCTGATGGAATATTGTCATTTAAAAGGTCAGCACTTTAAATCCATGATCTCTGGCTGCCATGTGGGCTATTGATGTCTGCTCTTTTGACAAGCACGTTTCCCATGGCAGGTATTTATTTCATTCTATTTAAAGAGCCCTGTTTTTTGCTCCTTGAGGAAGAAAAAGAAAATTAACAGAGGGATAAAAGTCACTGCACATTTCAGACAATGGTTTAGTACCTTTCACTCCCTTGACCATCTGCAATGTCAATCCACACAGGATACATGTAGCAGCTGGATAATAATTAGGAATTACAGCTTGGAGGGCAAACTTGTAAGTCTGATGGATAGTTCATGGCACCGATTTTCTTCCCTGCTGACACTAACAAAACATGACAGGGAAATAATCAGATGAAGTCAAGAATAAAATCAACGCAACAAGCTGCCAGCAGGAGCCTCTCCTCAGCCCTGTGCTTTGCTTCAATTACTGAAACACAGGTGTTTCCCAGACATACCGGGTCAGGGCCCATCCTGCGAGGTGCTGAGCAAATCTCCTTGGAGGTGGCAAGTATTCTCAACTTGCCACGGAGAGCGGAGGGCGTTCGGTACCTTCCAGGAGCGCTCAGCATCTCCCAGGATGGAGCCCTTCGAGGAGAGCACTTTAGCCTTGTTCTTTCCCCACCCCACACACATTTGCGCTTTAGGAAGGCACTTATACCCACCTCTAGTCATTCACTCTTTTCAGTGACCTTTAAATGTGGAAATTAAAGGGGCCATCTCAATGTACAAATCAGTCATGGGGTGTAAGTTCAGGGCAAATCCTAGACTTACAAGCCTAACAGAAAAATTGTATCTGTATTACCAATAACACAAATGTGAACAAGGTTATTTGTTCTTGAATCTAATTTTCTTTTCTTCACGGATATTGTTTCTGGTTCTTTCCTCCTCCTTTACACTCCACGCCACTTGGAAAGCGAAACTGAGCAGATCAATGTAATTTCCCAAGTATCTTTTTTTTGCAGTTTCCCAGGAACCCGACGACGATGCTGGAGTTCTTCTGAGTGCTGGTAGGGCATGTTTAAATGAAGCAGGCATCTCCTCACCCCAGGCAACCACCACTGAATTCAGTGATAATACAGGTTTCCCTCGCTTTATGCTGTACATGCGTTTCAGGAAAACATTGCATAACTTGAATTCGCATGAAGGGAACCCACTTTACAATGTAACAAATAGGGATACGTTCCAAGACCTCGACTGTACTGACCTCCAGACCCATTTCTACCACTTTTACAAGACGATTTTGGTATCAACAGCAGACAGTACACACAAGCACATGGCACTATCATAATGGGGATGGCAACTACAGAAACTCATGTTGCAGACGACGAGCGAGGAGCACAGCTCCACACAGGAGACTATTTTGGTGCACGTCCCTCCCACAATGCACGGCACAAAGCAGCTGACTGCGGGCTTCCACCACACCGATTGCATAAGGGTGACTTTAACTTGCATGCAGCCCATTTTTGGTATAAAAATGGTCATCGCATAAGAGTGAATTCGCACATACAGAACCTGCATAAAGTGAGGGAAACCTGTATTTATTTACCACTTCCATTGTACTTTAGAGCTATCCAAGGTGGTGTACTTCAGCCAATTTTTTAACAGCTTTTTTGGTTCAGAATATGAATTTGATAGTGCCTCTTTAAATCTATGTAGTAAAGCTTTCATAGTTGAGGTAAACTGTGAATATCTTGTTTTGTCTTCAGTAGGAGAGTTACATTACAGAAAAAAGCTCTGATTTTTTAGGCTGTGCTGCCTGACTTCAGACCCTTCAGATTTAAACAAACCAAAACTAAACCCTTTCCTAGCTCCAATCAGCCTGAGAGCATCCAATTTAATGGTGCTCTTCAATTTTTGCTTTTCACCATTTAGCAATAGCTGTTGAGCAGATGCCATGAAAAGAGGAGAGATGGGGAGCAGAGGGAGTTGCTGGGCTGCTCTCAAACACTGCACAATAGAAACATCCTTCTTAATGCTGAGTTTTCTGAGACATATCACTGCCGCTGAGGAGGCACTCTCACTCCTTCCAAGAGAAATGGAAAATACTTGGGAACCCTGAAGGAACACTAATAGAAAAAGAAAATCTGAATATGTGTAATTGGTGATGATTGACTAGACCACTCATGTTTAATTTGACAGGAATGCATGGGATGGAATAAATAGATGCATCCCTATAAAAATATATATTTGCTCAAAAGGACCTGACAGGCAGAGGTTACTTACTTTTATAAAGCCAGTTGCTGAGGGCAAGCAATCCAAGCCAGATGTGTGCAAGTCTATGTTTCAATTAAAACGGTAAGGTTTTTCCTACCATCCATTCTGGAGATGGGTTGTTCATTATAAATGAACAAGTAAAACTTGAACTCTACAAATACGGTAGCAGCTGTAGACATTTCAATGAGTCCTTAGCTCCTCTGAAGCATCTTTCCTAGAATGCAAGTGAGTTTGATGAAGTGTGCAGCATAGTATCTCTTCACCCCAATTTGGACGGGGAAAGTCATTTAATTTCCACGCTTTTTTTAGGTAACTTTCAAAGCATGTCTAAAAACTATGTGAGTATGTAACTGTAGTTTTGTTTTGTCTTTTAATCTAATCATTCTCAACCAGGGTGCCGCACTCAACCTGGGGTGCCTTGAGATCCATTCAAAGTTGCCATGCAATGTTAGCACTGTTAGGTGTGCAAACATGATTTACAAGATAAACTCAGAGATTTCAAATAGGAATCCATAGTGTCCTGTATTGAAATAATTCTGATATGCTGAGATCTTTCTTAGTTCTTTGCAACAATAATTGCTCTGTTCTTTTTTTTTTGTAGTAAAAAATGAAGTGAAACTAAGATACAATATTTTCTGAGGGGTGGCTTGAGTTAATCAAGGAGTGGCTTGAGTCTAAAAAGATTAAGAACAACTGCTTTAGATAAACTCCACCTCTCCTTCCCTAATGTCCTTCCATTTTTATGTGCAGACAATAGGTAACATTGTTTAGTTTACCTCAGCATGTTTGCAGATGACACCAGGCTGGGGGAGTAGTAGATACACTGGAGATTAGGGCTAGGATTCAGAGACCTAGACAAATTGGATTAGGCCAAAAGAAATCTCATGCGGTTCAACAAGGACAAGTGCAAAGTCCTGCACTTAGGATAGAACAGTCCCATGTATCAGTACAGGCTGAGGACCGACTGGCTAAGCAGCAGCTCTGCAGAAAAGGGCCTGGGGGTTACAGTGGACAATAAGCTGAATATGAGCCAGCAGTGTGCCCTTGTTGCCAAGAAGGCTAACACCATACTGGGCTGCATTGGTAGGAGTGTTGCCAGCAGGTCAAGGGAAGTGATTATTCCCCTCTATTCAGTACTGGTGAGGCCACATCTGGAGCACTGTGTCCAGTTTTGGGCCCCCCACTACAGAAAGGATGTGGACAAATTGGAGAGAGTCCAGCGGAGGGCAACAAAAATGGTTTGGGGCTTGCAGACATGACCTTATGAGGAAAGACTGAAGGAACTGGGCTTATTTAGTCTAGAGAAGAGGAGACTGAGTGGGGATTTAATAGCAGCCTTCAACTACCTGAAGGGGTGTTCAAAAGAGGATGCAGCTGGACTGTTCTCAGTGGTGGCAGATGACAGAACAAGGAGCAATGGTCTCAAGTTGCAGCAAGGGAAGTTTAGGTTAGATATTAGGAAGAAATTTCTCACCAGGAGGGTTATAAAACACTGGAACAGGTTGCCCAGAGAGGTGGTGGAAGCTCCATCTCTGGAGGTTTTTAAGACCCAACTAGACAAAGCTTTGGCTGGGATGATCTAGTTGGGGGTGGTTCTGCTTTGATCAGGGGGTTGGGATAGATGTGACCTCCTGAGGTCCCTTCCAACCCTAATTTTATCTGATTCTATGATTGTATGATTCACCCCTGTAGGCAAAGGAGTGTGAAAAATGCCCATGGATCATGCTGGGGCAGTTGTGCACTGGATGGGGTCCCATTAGGGAGGATATCTGTAAATGCAGACTAGACCTCTACATGGAAAATGCCCACTGATAGAGCTGCCTGGATGACACACTCTATTAGCCCTCCAGTGAGCTTTCCTTATGCCCTACATCAATCCCAGTTCTTTTCCAGTAGTGGGTCATCTACATCGATGAAGCAAAAGGCCACAATTCTGATCCATATTATCGGTATCTATGTTGGATGTCCCATTCCAGCATTCATTTCTCCTACTCCTGTGACCCTCCACTTGTATAGCACTCAGTATACAATATTATTAAACTGGCTACCAGAGTATTATCTGCACAGGCTGTTTTCCTCTCCTTTTTGCTGCTTGCACTTTCTTTCTGAAGCCTGCTCTATGTCTCTGGCTTGTTCAGATTTTGGTCCGTTTCAGCAAACCTATGCCACCAATTCAAGGACATCCCAGAATAGATGCTTGCTGAGGCAACCCCTTTGTTAAGATGAATCTTCAATCATTGCTTTTCTCTCTTGGGTTCTTCTATGCAGTTTTGCCTCTCCAGGTATTGTCACCTTGCCCAAATTACATGAGGAAAAACCTTCTTTAAGAAAAAACAAGACTGAGACAAGTGTTCACTAACTCTTTGCTTTTATACTTAGGCTTGAAAAGTAAATACACCCTGTTGTTAGCAATCAGAATATAACAGATTGAAATAATGGCAGAGTATATTTGGAGAAATGTAGCTGCATTGGCACTGCTGTGCAAAGTATATACACGTGTGGATTTGTTTATTGCATAAGCTCTCTCCTGGCTGGCAACACTATTTCTTCAGCCGTCTTTTTCTTTCCAAAGCTTTGAGTTTCTCTTCTTCTGCTTTTGCACTGGCAAGAGGCACTTCATGCTTGTCAAGATCATTAATCTAGCACGTAAAACACAGAGATCATAAAGGTAGTTTATTGTAGCATGGATGAGAACAAACAAGCTATTGAAAGAATCAGTAACTCAGAACTTACATGTTTTATATGGGGAAGAACAGACTCATGATAGGAAAAGGACAGTTCAGCAGGAAAAGAAGTGATACTTAACACAGCAGCCCTGGACTGAGCCATTTCAATGGTAAGGGTGGTTTTATGTGATTCCTCTTTTCTAAGACTCAGTTGTACACAGAGCACTAATTTAGCGAGAGCTGGTTTTTAGATTCACTTTAGCAGTGTAGGATAAAGCTGCTGACAAACCAAACCAAAGATATAGGATCAAACAGTGAAGTAACCTCTATGGCATCAATGCAAATTCTGTAGATAACTGATCTACAACTGATAAAAGAACAGAAGCTGCCTTTTTAGGACTCATTTTAGGTTCTTGTTGGTACGATAGGCCTGATTCTGCCTTTACACGTTCTTGTGGGCAGATTCCATTTGTTCCCACTGCGTGGCTGGTTTGCACATCTCAGATTAGGCCCACAAAAATCTAGAGTTGGGACTGATCCATGATGTGACCAGCTCCATTTTTCATTTAGGACCATTCTCTGGCTCTGGTGCTTTGTGTGGTCCAGTTATAAATGCCTATGAGAAAGTTGGTGATAGCTTCTACCTGGGCAGATTTCCCTACAGCTGGAAGCTTTGCTGTGCCAATGATTTTTTCCTAAGAATCACCCTACAGAAAGTGTTCAATTTTACCCCACTGCACCTAGTTCTACTACATGGACTATTTTAAATGATTCCTCTCCCTTGGTGTGGGTCACATCCTTTGCTACCTTGTAGAGGGTACTCAGGGTTGGAAATTTCTACATTTTTTTTTATTCAGATAGTTCCCTTCCAAAACTGAAAAGTGCAGATTTGGATTCTGAAAGAGAATGTGATGTTTCTCTAGACAGGTCACTTATTAGCTTATAATTGTGTCAAAAGTGCACAATCTGATCAGTTCCTGGGCAGACAGCAGTTGTAGAAGCTCTATAAAATGGTGTCATTAATTTAAAAAGAAAAAAAATCAAGTTCTTTCAAGCAATGCTATTCTTCTTCCTTTAGAAAACCAGGTTTCTGTGTTCCCGCAGGAGTGAATGTCAGCTCTGGTTAGGTCTGTCATGTTTTAATACAGTAGGCCACAACGTACCGGATATGATCAGTACTGACTCATCAGAACAAGAAAATCTAGTCATAACGTACCTGTCAGTTCACCTGGAGGAGTAAGGGGTCTTCTCAGCCACCCAAAGCCCTGTAAATAGAGCTGAACCTCATAACACAGAGCACTTTAACTCCCCTGTTATTAAAGTCTTCAGACCTCTATTTAAATCTGACACTGTACCTTACTTCTGACCTACGTCACCCTCCGTTAACTTTGTTACTGGGCTTCTTCTAGACAGAGGATGTTGTTAATGCCAAATGCTAAGGTGATTTAATAATGGCTATGAAGAGAAATTATGATGAGAATGCAAATGAAACAGTCTTGTTTTGACTTGAAATTCAGCAAAAGTAGTTATAAAGGTTATAAATTGGTCAGAAATAGCTTACCCTCATCTCTGAAACAATGGGAAAAATCAGCACGCAGAACAGATTCCCCACATCAATCCTGCCATCATAGGATGTGGGATGGGAAAGGACTTACTGGGTCATTGAATCCAACCTCTTGCTGTCACAGCCAAACACATTTCATGATTTTTTTCATAAACTTGTTGGAGCTCATGTAAAAAAACTAGATGTTTTCATCCTGACTCCTGATGAAAAGGCTATTCCCAAACCTCACTCTTCATGCCTTCTGATTTCCAAAGTAAATTTATTCATGGCCACTTTGCGGCCATTAGTTCTTATGTCAGTATTGACCTTGAGTTTAAACAGTTCTTCTGCCTGCCTACCCTCTTCCCCCCACCCCTGAGATATTCATAGAGAGTAATTACATCTCTCAGCTTCTGTTTTGCCAGGCTGAAAACATCATGCTCTTTTAGTCTCATGTCGTTTCTCCTGATCATCCTAGTAGCCCTTCTCTGCATTGTTTTCCAGTTTGACATGAAGTTTTCTTGACCACAGATGACCACAAGTGCATGTGGTAAAAATACCTTTCCAGGTGCATCCTTGTTTTAATAACTGCATCTTATTAGTAGCTCATAGACATTTTGTGATTGACTAATACATCCATATCTATCTCTGCCTCAGTTATTTCTGACTGATGAGCTCCTACTTTATAGCAGAAACACAAAGTTTGGACTATTTAATTTCACCACTTATTACTCCAGTCCTCAAGGTTATCCGGGTCTTACTGAATGATATTTCAGTCCTCCTCCAGGTTGATGATGCCTTCTGACTTTGTCCTTAACACATCTCAGTAGTACACTCCTACCTTCTGTCTGTGCCATCACTACCCGCCATCCTGTTTCCAGAGGATCCATCACTGCAGCACCTCAGCACAATACAAGATCCTAGTGTGTGATATCATGTCTCCCTCTACTGGGTAGTTCCAGTGATAAAGCTACCAGCACCTACTACTATCACAGCTAGAGAAATTCTCTTTTACCTATTATTGTACTTTGGTGCTTAAGGTCCCTGATCTAGTTCTTGCTAATCACTGTAACATCTATATGTATAAGGAATCAGGGTTTGTTACTTTGTCTGTGGATTTTCCCATGAAGTCAATGAATCTAATTATGCCCTCAGTGAACACCTTATTTTACAACTGATTAAACCTGCTGATGTCAATGGGAACTTCGCCATGATGTAAGAAAAGACAGAATTAGATCTGGTAGCAGATTACACCTCTGATCTTCCTATCACACCTGTCTTTGCAGTCCTCTCTGGCTGGCTTCATCTCTGCACTGTAATCTGAATCCCTGTGGTTCTGGAAAATCCTTTTTATACAGGGAGATTAAAAGACAACTGTACTGAAACCCCCTGGGGATCTTCCCCAGGTATCAGTGGGCAGCCTCCCTGAGGACTAATATTGATGCTTATACCTTTGTGCAGGAAGGGGCTTTGTCCTTGTCCATAGGAAAAAACTCTTCGCTGACTATCTTCAGTTTGTTTTCTTTGCTCATTTCTGTATCTAGGTAATGGTCCTCCAAGGGAACAGTGCTGGAGACAAAATAAATAAATAAATAAAGGCATTGTCACTGCATTTTTCACATCTCCAGAGCACGTGAGCTTCAGTAAAAAGATGGGCCTGAACACATCAAGTCTAACGCAGAGGCAGCAGCAGAACCCAGAGTCCAATGGCTTAACCACAGAACCACTTTGAGATTTGATGCTGATTACTTCAGCATGTATATCCACCAAGGATTAGACAGGTCCTTGTTTGAAAATGCCCCATGGGGAAGTCAAAGGAGACAATGCAGTCTGGGGGAGGGGGACATGGAACAGGGGTCAGGTAACTTCTTTTTCCCAGATCTACCATTGACTTGCCAAGTGACCTTGGGCTTTTCACATCATCACCCTGTGCATCTCCTTCCCATCCCCCTGTTTATATGTCTTGTCTACTTAGACAGTAGGTAAACTGGGGCAAGGACTATCTTTGAAGCTGGACACATGACAGTCACACCAACATCACTGATTTGGACTCAGAAGTAGACATATGATGCAGAGCCCTATACTAACATAACTCACTCACATTCAGTGTAGAATAACCCTTGGAAAACTCAGTGGGGAATGATGTCTAGCTGCTGTGGGAGATCGGGTTATCTGTTTGCTCCACATCCCAGTGTAGTATATAAGGATGTACAAGAATGTCATGTGACCAGACCCTTCATCTGATTCACATAATTGTGAATCTAGATGCCCCAATCACTGTGGGACATCTAGATGCTACTGTAATAGCAATAATGACCCAAAGTCAGAGCAACTAAATACACACCAATTACTCCAGTGTGGTTGCTGTTGCACCAAGTAACATCCACTCTCCCCCTGTAAAAGTAAGGGGGTAGGGGTCATTCCCTGCTTTTCTGATAGACATACCTGGGCTTCACTAGAAAATCAGCATTATTTTGTTCAGTAGGAGTTAAACAGGCGGGGAAATGATGAAAGGTGATGGCTTGCCATGTTCCTAATGAAAAAACACGTTCCTTGGTGGAAACGACCAAAAGGTTGATGCAGTTGGAATCATGTTTCTGAATGATCTCAGTCTTTAAGTGGGGCATTCACATTATTTAAAGCAAAGGCAAGCACATGGTTCTCTGTTGTTATTCCTTGCAGGCTGTTCCATTACCAGGTATTTTTAATTCCCTTCAGTAACTAGCAGTAGCATGTGAATAAGGCCTGATAGCTTCATAAGTAGTGTACAGGACCTGAAAATTTGGGTGTTGTTCTCTGCTCTGTTGGTGACTTGTTGTTTTAGCCTGGGTCAGAGATTGGCTAACTATAGGCTGTGGGCCATACTGATCCCGCCAAAGGTCCCTCGGGCAGAGCTGTGTGATTTCATCCCATTGCTCTGAAAAGTTTGCCAACCTCTGGCTGCGGTGAACCTCCCTGCACTTCAGTTTCCATGTGTGAAATGGAGACGAGGCTGTCTGTCCATCTTTGAGACACCCTTTGAGATCCATGCTGCTAAGGGGTGCTGCTAGGAGTATGATGCTGTCTTCAGAGGGTTACTCATGAGAACTGAGGGGTGGCCTGTGATTTGTTATTACGGAGTGACCCAGCTGTGTATAGAGCAGGGGCTATTGTAGTTCCTGGGCTTGCTCAGCTTGAGGTTTGAAGAGCTGGCAGTGCTCACAGACAAAAGAATACTGGGGTGGGGGGGACGCTTCTAAGAGAACAACAACAGAATAAAACCAGTTAAATTTGGGGCTATCGAGCTTAGCGATTTCCTCTTAAAAATGCATTTTTCTCCCTAAGTAGCTCTTAACATCCTTACTTGCCTCAAGGAAAAGCAGCATAGCTTTGCAAGAAACCCAATTTCCAAGGGGCTTCTATGGGGTGAAGTGAAGAGTGAAACTTCATTACACTAAACTGGGCTGATGGCTTTGTGTAATGGAGTGATGAGAAGAGTCCATTATGGAGTCCACCTATGATCAGACTCTCTTGTTAAGGGAGAGCACGTGCCTGTAATTTCCTTGTACTTGTTTCAGTCTGTTTCATTCTTATTTTGTGCCTTTTTTTTCTTTGCTAAATCAATTCATAAGCCTTATTCCTCTCATGATCCTAGAAGACTTTCAGCATATTAGCAAAAACTTATACTTAAAACAGACCATCTAGGTGAGATGGATCTTATCTACCTGGATAAGGGTTTAATTGGCATCCCAGAAGTGACCTATGAGCCACACATGATTTGTAAAAGTGAGCTGACTGTAGTTGCCTTTGCCTTTACCATAGTAGTAAAGCTGTTAGTCACTCATGCTATACTTCATCTTGATCCAGCATGCTAAAATCAAGCTGGAACTTTGCCTGCTGCAAACTGCAGTACTACTTGTGATCAGCACCTCTGTATCCATGATTGGGGCTAGCTATGGGGTGGGACTCTTCAGGCAGTATGGACAGTTGTAGCTTGCCCAAGATCCACCTAAAGATATGCTATAGATCTACATATGTGGACAATCTTTCTAGGGTGAAAGCATGAGGCCTTTTATGTGGGTTAGAAATAGTGAAGACAATGTGAAGAGAGAAAGAGGGCAAAGCAGCAGAGAACCAGTACCGGGACTGTACACTCCCCCCAACATCCACACAAACTGGGATAGGCTGATCTCTGGGGGCAGGGTGAAGAGGGCTGAAGGGGCTGGGTCACCTATGAGCAAGGAAGTGACCATTTGGTTCAAACAAGACTTAAGTCACAGACAGAGTACAGCTGCAGTGTAATGCTTCAAAATAATGCATGGCTTTCATTCTGCTTTACTACAATATAGTGAAGTACACGGCCGCTGAGTACTTGATATTACTGTGATCCATCTAGTTGCGTTTCAAGGCATCTGCCACAATGGCAACTCAGCATGTAGAAACAGGCTGTGCTATGAGGCAAAAGTAAGAGGGATCACAGAGTGGCATTTGATGTTGATAATGAAAACATGTTGAGGAAGACATGTTTCCTCATGTTTCCATTTCCTATGGATGTGTATCAGTCAAAGCTAGCGGCTACCAAGTAGCCTTGGCATATAATAGCAGCGGTCCCTTTTGTACAAGTTGACAGTAGTAATTATTTCCATGTGAGGCATGAGCTTAGACCTCACCATTGTCCAGGTTAGAAGCTGGAGATGTCAGGCCAGGTCAGAAATTGCCTCTGGACTGAATGAAAAATTCAACAATGCTGTTGCAATACAGACAACAGAGTTCATGTGTCAATTGTGTCCCTGAGCCAGATGCATGTCCTCTGAGAGGCATCCCAATTGGTCTGTGTTATGAGATCCTCGCGAGAAGGATATTTTTGCCGTAACCCATCCTGGAAGGCACCTGATACATTTGCTGCATGCTTTTATACAGGACAGACTGCAGAGAGTTGCATCCCTGTGGCAGTTCAATTCCAGCCAGAGTGGAAATGCTTCGGGTTTTATTTTTTCCACGACTTGCCTCATTTTATCTTAGATTGTTCTTGATAAAAAAAAATGAGATTTCTCATGGAAGGAGCATAAAGGGAATTGCAGCTCTGGCAACAGAAATTACTGTTCTCCAAGAAGACCCAGACGTCCAGCTGGTGAACTTGTGCCTTTGAGCCCTTTCCAGTCAAGAGTTAATGGCTTCAATTTCCAGTGCTCCTACTACCATGGCCTATTTCTTGAAGGCTGATAGTATCTTGGGTGTAATGTAAAGAGATGCTTAGCCTTGGTGATTCTTGTCAACATGGCTACAGTTAAACTGATCCAGCTTAGTAGGTAGAATGAGATATTCCAGCCAAAACACATTTAGAGGGGCTCTGGGATTTTGCTTTTGTCTTTGTTTGAAGCATGGGTGTAGGTTGGCCTACACCATGATACCACCCCACTGTAAAACCTCTAATTTCCCAGAAGCAATATTTTCTATTGCAACTGTCAGGTGTTTTATTGTTCTTGTCAAAATTTTTATTAACACCAGTGGTGGGTCTGTCTAGCGAACTGCACCGACTGTGCAAGCGATCATATCCTGTGCTAGGGTAACTCTATTGGAGGAGATTTATGGGGATACAGCAAGCAGGGGGCCACTGGATCAGCAAGTCTGTGTACTCATTGTAAATAGCTGACTGCTCCTTGCTCTCTGAGTGTAGAGCAGAGCCTGTTCATTAGGATCAGGCAGGTGTACCTAGATGGACCGTTTACTACAAGTGCTGGAGTCTGTGGAGCAATTAGTCATATGCATCTCATTTTCAAGGTTATTTATAATGTTTCCACCTTGAGCCAAAGCTGGAGGCACTGGCGCTGAGAAGAAAGGCCACACAGGACTATGGGGCAGGAGTGCTGGGCTTGGCTCTCTGTGCTCCCACCAGCTTGTTTTTCTGACTTTGG